CAACAAGATAATTAATATTCAAAAAACCGTGTAACATAGAATAATAAAAACTTTTTTTACTTTTTTTTTCAGGTCAATTTTTTTCCTTGTTTTCTATTTTCATATATTTCAGATGGAACAACACGGGTTACGGTTTAGAATTGTATCATTTAATGATTCTGCTAAAAAAAAACTGAATAATACATTATTTTACATAAAAAAATTTATAGAATTACCAACAGAATATGGTAAAAATTTCATTGATACTACTATTAATATTTAAAATCAGAATAGATTTGGAATTATTTTAAAGGAAGATTTTTCTTGAAAAACATGAAGCTTTTTTTGTTATTGATCAAAATTTATAAAAATTAAAACTACGTAATAGAAAAAAAATTTTTTTTTCATCTGAGGTTTTCTTTTATTATTGAATAAAATTCTTCGTATACATAGTTGATACAATTAAACTTGAACCAAATGAATTCATAACACCGATTGTTATTTCTATCAATGAAACATTCGATTGGAATATAAATGACGGAAATTATTGTCAAATTATTTGTTTAACACCAAACTCAACAATCCTAGCTGATACTATTTTATGGTTTGATCATTTATTAAATCTTACTAATGACCCTAGATATGATGAAAAAGCTCAATCAGAATTACCTTGTAGTGTAAGATTTATGTTTTGATTCTAAAAAGAAAATTCCTTTTTTTTTTTTTTTTTGGTATATTTAGATGACCCTTAAAGAAGGATATGAATTTGAATTTAGTCTTCAACCGATTGAACTTCCAGCATCTTTCATCTCTTCATGTAAACTGGAAATTCTCAAGTTTTTTTTCCTTTGCATCAATTTTCTTTTTTTTGATCAGCACGTTTCGCAAGAAGAAATAATCTTCTTAAGCTACCATCAAACCAACAAACAACTGAAGGTCATTTAATGAAATTAAAACAATTTGATCAACCAGTTCATTGTGCTGTATGTCACGGATCTATTCGGTACCTTTTTTCTTTACCTTTTTTATGATCAATTATGTTTTTTTTTTCAGGGGTTTCCATCATCATGGTTTTGAATGTTTACAATGTTCTCTTGTAACACATAGAAAATGTCGTAATGATATTCCATTTTGGTGTGAAAAATCATCAGGTTCAGTATGTATTATTGATTTTATATTTGTTTATATAAAAATAAAACCAAATAAATTAATTTGGATTCATAAAAGAAAAAGAAGCCTATTGGAATAGATGGAAATTTTTGACTAAGCATTTCTTCATTAGACAAGTTGATTATTTGAGAAAAACTCGATTCCAAGATTTATACATATTTTGATAGTTCTTGACAGGAGTTTTAAGTTAGCATAATTTCTTGTGTTAATAGTGGAAGATTAGGTTTTGATTGTGATGACTTTCTGCGAGATCTCTAGCTAAGGAATATGAACTTGCATTATATGCAACCTTTTGTAGCTTTATAGCACAAAGGCCAATTCCAGGTAGGTTTCGACAAGGCTAAATTGATTGGGTATATTTGGGGTGTGTAGACGGTGAGTGAAATAGAGCACTCGTCCTCATCCACATCACACTTCACATTCACGTATAAGAGGAACTATGAGCATAATTTTCGCATGACATATACTCCTATGAGAAATATGAGAGATTTGCATATGCGCTATTTAATAAAAGTTGACTGATAGTATGAAAATATAAGGTAACATAGGCAAATTTGTTTTCGAAAGCAAATACTTACTAAATCATAAACATTGCTTTTTGTTTTCTCAAAATCTGTTTTTTTTTGAGGATACCGTTTACGCGGACAAATTTTTCTTAATAACGATTGAATATATAACTGGCCATTTTTTTTTCAACTACACAGAGGACAGTAAGAGTTAGGTTATAATAGAGTTTGAAATTATAAGTTCTCTTTTGCTGAAATAAAAAACTTAGATTTTTGATTCTAATTAGCGATTTTTTTGGCAACAAATGTAATAATTTTTCGAAGAAGCTTTTTGAAACAATAAAGAAAATAAAATTCAAAAATCGGATCTTTTGCGATCTAGCTCTAAGTACATATTGATGCTGCTGATTTTGTGTGTAGGTTTTATTCTATAATTCTGTGTTAATGTATCATTTTAGTTTTAGTTGTTTATTTAATTTACCTGTATAAAGATAAGATAATAACAAGTTCTTGCGCAAAATAGCAAATTAAATCAGAGGGAGAGAGTAAACATGAAAATTTTGCATTCGAAACTGGCTTCAGTTAGCGCAATGTTTTTGATCATATCACTTCTATTTCTCAATGTCGAAAAAATGTAATCATAGTAACTAAAACAACATAAGACGCGACATACAACCATAAAATAAAAGAAAGTATACGATGAAAATGTAGGAAATAAGTGATACTTACAATAATAGACAAGGACATTTACATTTGACAATTAGTTATTGCAACAGAATGATCATACAGTTTACTATCAAATTATTTTGTATCTAGAAAAGTTCTTCTGAAAATGAATATAAGTCCTACAACGCTAGATTGATGTTCGGTTCTAGTATTTATTAACGTACTCTCGAACAATGTGCCGATGCATTAGAATTTAATTTTCAAAACTTAAGAGCAAAAGCAACAACTTTGATCTGACCTATTTATCAGACCGAATATTTTAACTAAGGATCAAACCAGTTCGGAAACTGTGGTGTATTCTACAGTTAAACAACCACTCCGACATTTTGGCTCATATTCTCATTTTGAAAGTTTTGTCCATGTCAAGGATACTTTTGAACAATGAATTGACTATAATTCTTGAATATTTTGGAGAAATCTTTTAACTATAATCTATTTTAGCCGAGACTAAGATTCTCTGAAGTATTTCATTGATGTTGGATGAAAAATTAAAACTTTCTTTTAGATGGCTTCCCGCTTAAACTTTATTCATCCACATACGTTCAAAACATACGAAGTACCATTTGTTCGAGCTTTTGTTACTCGTAACCATATTCATTGTGATCATTGTGGTGCACAAATATTTCGCAATGCTCTCAAATGTACACGTAAGATAAAGAAAAGCATAATTTTTCAGTATTATATTTTAACTAATTACTTATACTTATAACAAAACATATAAATGAGAACAATTACATATTTTTTAAGTTAAATTTCATAAAGAAAATAATCTTTAATAGAAATACTAATTCATTGCTTCTTTTTTTGTAGAACTCAAATTATGTTTTTTGAAGAAGGTTCTAGCGAGTACAAGTTTACAGTCGAACTTTTGCGGCTCTCCATCTTCCTCACTCTCCTTCATAGCAACCGAAATAATGTGACAGACCATCGATTAATCGTCCCGTTCCGTTGGCACGGGAAAGCAGCAAGGAGAAGTTGATGAAGACTGATGATCATCGACTATGTTTCCATAGCAGTTAAGAACCATGGCATCAGACTTCTTTTCCAGAGTTCCTTAGTAATGGGAAGAAGCTCTAAAAGGGATTAACAATAAGATTGAGACTATCCTAAAGAATTCAAGGACAGTCCAAAACTTTCTTCAAAATTCGAATGAATACAATACGTTTGTCAATGTCCTAAAGAATGCAGTGTTTGATTATTGTGCAAATAACACAATTATATTTTAAATATCACAGATGATGAATAGTGAAGTACTGATCTACCATGATCAATATTAAAAGCGTGAACTGATCAAGTTATTACTTTGAAAAATAATTGATATCAGTGTTTATAAGCTTGTCGAGATATATAATATTGCTCTGAGACCTGCTGTAGATGGAGCGGATATATACAACTGGTTTATTTGTCAGTTAAACTAGTGGTGAGAATAATAGTAAAGTTAAATTAAGAAAAATAGAATACAGAAAAGAAACATAACAAGTGATTAACAACCCAGCAAACAAAAAAAAAGAAAAAGCAATAGAAAAAAGAAAAAAATTCTTTTCGAAATGTAGAAATCAATAAAAAACTTCGTTTCTCTAATGATCAATTATTGTTGGAAAACCAATATAGTCCGTTAGAATTTTTTCACTTAATGTTTTTTGTATTAACATAATGGATCTAAAGTTTGCATGCGATTTTCACATATTACTCTCAAGGAGGCTGCAATAACAAGCATTTTATGTTGTAAAAAAACATAAAAATTAAAAATAATTATCTTGTTTTTAGAATGTTCTATTACGATTCATGAACGTTGTCAATCAAATGTTTCACAAATGTGTAAAATTTCAGATGATTCACCACCAGCAACACCTTCGGCATTTCCAAATATAGTAGGTGCACGCTTTCATGTTGAAAAAATTAAAAAAGAAAATAATCAAATTTCGCAATCATCATCATTTGATTTATCTTGGCTTGATCCATTACCAAAACTTCCTATATATAATCAACAAACAATATCTTTACCAAAATTTAGTGATTTTGAATTTATTGGTCGTCTTGGTGATGGTGCTTCTGGTCAAGTCTATTGTGTTCAACATACTTTATCAAAAAAATATTTGGCTATTAAAGTAGCTGATGGAAAAAATGGACAAGCACGACAACAATTAGAAGTTGAAAAATACGTTTTATTTCGCCATAGTTCTGGAAATCCTTATATGGTTAAAGCTTATTGTGCATTTCATCAAGGAGTATATTTAAATTTTTTGTCATTTAACAAAAAGAAAAAATTCTTTTTTGATTTAGAATAAATTATTTCTTGGCATGGAACTTGTTCAAGGTGGAAGCTTATGTCATAAAATTCAAACAAAACGAATGAATGAAGATGAAATAAGATACTATTTAGCACAAACTATTTCTGTTATACAATATTTACATTCAAATAAAATTGTTTATCGGTGATTTTCAAAAAAATGAATCTTTTTTAAATATTCTTTTAAAATTATTTAGTGATTTAAAACTTGAACATGTAATTGTTTGTTCAACAGGTTCTATACGTCTTATTGATTATGGACTTGGACGATTATTAAAAACTCCTGATGAAATTTGTCATACCTTTTGTGGTACTTATAGTTACATGGCTCCTGAAGTAATTGCTTTTTTCATGTTTTAAACCGAAAACACATTATCGAACGATGTTTTATAGGTTCGACGTTTAGAAAATGGCTTATCAGATGGAGGTTATAGTTATGCAGTTGATTTTTGGGCACTTGGAATAATGTTAGTACAAATGTTATGTGGTGAAAAAATGGATGTTAACTGTGCATTTTCAAGTAGTAATGCAGACACCACTAAATCAACAAACATAACGGAATATTTGCCATTACCTCGTTGTATAAGTCTTGAAGCTCATTCATGTGTTATTGGTTTACTTGAAAATGATCCTGAAAAACGTTTAGGTTCACCTAATTCACCACATGGTGCTATACGTAATCATAAATTTTTCAAAGCTGGTCATCAAATTAATTGGCAAGAAATTGATGAAGAGATATTTAAACCTGGCCATAAAACTTCAGAAGTAAAAAAAAAACAAAGAAAAATACAAGACTTTTTTATTATAAAATGTTCTTATTTTTCATGTAGGATATACATGTTCAATTTGGCAAAGCATATGATCAACAACTTTCAGATTTACCAATAGATAGAGGAATTCGCGCTAAAGACGATTGGATAGCTGCTGGAAAATCAACATGTGCACCAGATGAAAATGAAAGATTGCAATCATTTGATTACATTAGCGAATCATCTTGGCGCGAATTTACTTTATCAAATGCTTTGTGAAAACTTATTTTAAAAAATAACACTCATTTCTTTATTTTTTGCATACTAACAATACTTTATCTTCTCCATATTTTTTTTAACGTCTTATTAATAGATGTTTCTCGAAGTATACTGTAATAGTGGTTCTGTGTTGTATACATTCATATACGATATTTTAGTATGTATTGAACTAGCCATAGCATTTCTTCGATTGCATATGATACAGTTTTGAGTTCACGTTTGCGAAAATTAAATCGTCTTAATATGAACGGGAGAATAATTAAAGTTGTATCAGTAGGACAAGGTGCATCTCGCCAAAAGATCACTAATGATGTGATTGTTAATGCCATGTTCGAATGCACACTTTGGCTTAGAACTTCTGGATCAATTCCGAAAAGTGTTAGTAAGAATAATCAAGTAAATTGATCAATGTTAAGCAATGAAAGGAACACAATCTAATTTCCTCTGATTTTCTTATTTTCATAAGAAATCGTCAATGAAAGAATATGTTCGGGTAGAATAAATCAACATATATGGTAGAAATTAGTTTTGAAATTGAACGAAAGTCTAGTTGATAATGATTACAGGTATCAAATATTAGTTGAAGATATGTGATACATTAGAAAATGATAGAAAAATAGTTAATATATCAAGCACAGAGCTGGGCAAAATACTCGAAGTACTCGTACTCGAGTACGATTTTTGTAGTACTCGTACTGGTACTCGTTATTGAGAAAAAACGTATTTGCCCAGTTCTGATATCAAGATAGTCAGTAATATCATACAAAACAGAGATGTCTTGATAAGTCAAGCTGAGTTCGACACGACTCACGCAGCAAAACTTGTTTGAATAGGAAACCAAAGATGCTGTGTATTTAGAAAAAAATATCTTTTTCGAAGCTTTCATATGATTTTTTTTGTTAGCTAAAACATTTCTGCAATGAACTGCAAATATATAAAGAAAAATATAAAGTTATCGTCACCTTAAAAAAACTTTCTTCATTTGTAATTGATTTTAGCAAAGAAAAAATATTCGAACAATGAAGACTAAGCTGAAAAAGACCGAAATAAATAGAAGAGTTTAGAAAACAAGCACGAAGAAAAACCAATATGATATAATGTATTGATGGAATTTTTCAAATGTGGCAGAATACCTCTTCAGCAACATTGGTTTCCTTCACAAGAAATAAAAATACTTATCTCAAATGAAAAAAGAAAGGATCGATGTTTTCTCGTCTCACTTGTACATATCAAGTCATATAAAAGAGAAGAAATCAGCTGTCTTGGTTTGTTGAATTACCTATTACATTATGTCTGTTGCTCTGATGTTTATGTTCAAAATCATAAAGTCCAATATATTTTTGTTCTTTTCTTGATCATGACATTAAAAGAGAATAAATAAGTTTTCATGAACTAACTATATGCAAATTCATACCTGAATCTCTAGAAGAAAAATGGTTGTAAAGTTCCATTGAAATATATTTAATATGATTAAATTTTTCAGTCAATAGTTTATGATTGATACAGGGTGTCTCATAAGTTGTGGCAGATTTTTTTAAATCTAATTTTTGATGATAATGAATACAAATTAAACTCAAACTTATACATATGACACGGCTTAGCATGTACTTTTATTTCATATATTTTATTTGGATTAGATCATTGAATATACAAGAAAATAAACAAATTCAATGAACATACCCTCCATTGACAAATATCAAAAGTCTGCATTTTTTCGCTACTTTGTTAGTTTTTTCTCCAATTACTATTCCTATGGGAGTAAGTTTTTACAAAAGAAATCACACATTCTGATAGCACTTGAAATGCTCTATGATATTATGTATTAATACAGTGTCTTAAATATAAGTAGCGAAAAAAAATGCAAATTTTTTGGGCTAGTCGATTCGGAGTATATTCATTGTATTCAATTTTATTTCAATCTATAAACGCAAGAAAATAAGTAAATAGACAGGGTGATAGAGAATTTTAAGCTCTATCAGAATCTATAGTTACTTTTTCATACAGATCATTCTATACGGATGAAAAATTTTTAAAACTAGTTTTGATGACGAAGGAAAGATCAAGTCTGGGAATCTGGACATGAGGGTGCCTTCGTTGTCTTCAATTTATTTTGGTAATGAAAAGGTCAAAACTAAAACCTAATTCTACAGAATGATAGAAAACTCCGCGAGCTTTCAGAATATGTAATTAGTTTTAAAATAACTTATTTTTATAGTGACAATATATGAGAAATACAGAGTGAAACTTTTGTCGGGGTATATATATTGTAACACATTGATGGTGTGCTTATTTTGCACATGTACCAATTTCTTTATTTTTTGTATATCCAATGATTAAATTCAAATAAAATATATGAAATAAAAGTACATGTTAAGTTGTATGATACGTGTAAGTTTGAGTTTGATTTGTATTCATTATCATCAAAAATTAGATTTAAAAAAATCTGCCACAACTTATGAGACACCCTGTATTAAGAATGTATCTATCATCAGAGTCTATTCTATTGATAATTCTGCATAATTGGCTGCGATTTGAATTCTTGAAATAGTTATCAAGTTTAATTCTACCAATTCACGTCATAATAATAATGACGTGGTTCCAGTAATAGGACTTATACTGGATCAATATGTAATTTTTCTCTAATATGAAATACGATCCTATGTAAATCTTAGTGATTTAGACATATTTTCTGTAGAAGTATCAGATCGGTACGATGAAGATTTCACAAACTTCATAATCCTTATAAATAATATGATTTTCTAAATCTTGCGAGTCATGATGATATAGCAATGACAATCTCACAATAAATGTAAATAATTATCTCATCAAATTTTTTTTTCTATAAAAATGAATAAATTGTGATTACTCTAATAATTTATTGGAGATATAATAATATGAATTAGGATGAATATTATATAATAGAAATAAAAGAGAAACGGAATAAAATTTATTGTTCTTTGCTGAACGAAATTGAGTCACTTGGCAGTCAGTTGAAAAACAGCATAATATAACGCTTGAG